TATATATATTAATTTTGAAATATATATAAGAATTTTGAATTAACTACAGGATGAAGAAATAGAAGAATTATCAAATAAGCCTGATTCACATGAGATCCCTGAGAAAAGGAAATTATCTATAGAATCTAACAATTCCAATGCGAAAAAGATAGTGCTGAACCGTAAATCTGTATTGGAAGAAATAAAGAATGACCAAGTAGAGAAGAAGGAAAATAAAGGAGCAAAAGTGATCGAAGATGCGCCGCCAGAGAAAAAAATTATCAAACTATCGGAGCTCAGCACAAAAGAAGTAGTTAAATATTATATTATTCTCTTATCTATTAGATATTATTGAGTAATAAAATTCATTTGTTTCGAATACATAATGTAATGTGAGCGCGTTTATTTTATATTATATGATTAATTAATACATGATTGTATGTAACTCTTCAATAGAGATTGGAAATGAGAGCTAAGAAATTTGGAGTGCCATTATCAGAGACAGCAAAAAAGGAGGCTAGATTAGCTCGTTTTAACATTAATAATCAAAATAACAAATCGGCTGCATCCATAAAGATACCTGTAGTAAGAAATTTAAAGTTTACTTTACAATGTCGTTTATCAAGACAAAATAATTTGTAGAATTATTTTATGACAATTATTAATAAATTTTTTATAGCCTACTACATATGAAGTATTGAAGAAACGTGCAGAAAGATTTGGTACTTCAGTATCTACTTTGATGGATAAGGTAAACAAATGTAAAGTTAGAATCATACCAGCCATGATATATAGAAAAACTAAACAGTAAGACGTTTTCTGCAATGAGTCATTACTTAAGCTCTTAAGCCGTAAGAAAGTGATCCATCACAATCAAATGTGAGAAGAATAGTCGACTATCATTGATCATTTTCTTACGTTTAAGCCATTTAAGACTTAGCTTAGATAATGACTGCGTTCAGCAGAAAAAGCAACTGCTGTCCTAGGTAATCATATACAAGAATTTTACAACAGTTGCTAAGCTGCTTTTTCTGCTAAATGTAGCCAGTGACTTATTGTAGAAAGCCTAAGCAGTAAAGAAATAATTTGTTGGATTTGCTACTGCTTATGTTATGGCCTTAAAGTCTCTATTGTGATTAATTCGTTTACTGCTTATGTTTTATTGCTTAAGTTTTTTTATATGCCATGACCCTTTCGCAAATATATGCATACATTTTGAAAATTTTGGATGCTATAATAAAAGTATGCGGATGAAGAAAGTGTGCTATAAATTAATTGAAATGAATATTCATTTCATGTGTGTGCCATGTCTTCTTCAGCATATTTACATTAAAAAAATATATATATATGTAATATATTCATATTAATATTTTCTATACAATTTTAATGATACTCTATCCGATTCCACGATCAGTCAAGGTAAAATCACTCACAGATTGCGAGAAATGTAATTAAATCGAATAGAGTATTATTAAAATTGTATAGAAGAGATATTAATATGCTGAAGAAGAATCCAAAAAGAGTCAAAACGTTCAAAATTTTGATTAAAGAAGACATGGCACATCAAATGAAGTAATATTCATTTCAATTAAGAATATATATGTTAATTATTAGTTTAAATCGACAATTAACTCTATCAACAAAATTGCTTAATACAAAATCTCTAATATACAGTTTGTTGTTCTTAATCTTTTTTTATATATATTAAATATAATTCTAATAACAAATTTCAGGTTTATATTCATATTGTTTAATAAAATAGTCAATTAATATAAATTAGAGTTTTGATAGCCTTTATATATATTCTTTTTCTGTCATACTGATTTTATTTTAAATCTTTTATTTCTTTTAGGTTGAGATGGCTGAACGATTGGAGAAAAGAAAGGCCCGATTCGGTGAAGTAAAACCCGAGAATAAACTAACTAAGAATAATTATAAGATTAAGATTGTTAAATGATACTCGGTGTTATATACTAAATCGACGATCTAGATTACAGAAATCTAATTTAAATTTTATTTTAAATAAAGGTATTATACACAGAGAGAGGAGAATAATGACTCATTGAAGATAATATACTTTTTAATACCATTATTACTTCAATATTAAAGCTATACTTTTTTCTTTATTTACCTTGGTTTACTTTTTATATTACCTTATCATATATAAATTTCTTGTAAAAAATAGGCGAGAGAAATCTTAGAAATGTAGCTGGATGTATTACACCAATAAACTCACATATATCAGTATTTTAATTGTAATTAATTTTTCTACTTACAAAGAATATTATTCAAGATTTTAGGACTATTAATGTAAAATAAATATGTAAATATATAATATATATACATATTAAAAAAAAATTAGTAAATCAGAACAAGATAGAACAATATTGTTTCTTCGAGAGATCAATAAATATGATTTAATATATCCTATTTTAATACATTATAATAGGTATTTATTAATATTTAATATTTATAATTCTCATAATTTAATAAAATCATTTTAGTAACTATTAGAATATTGTAATAGATATTTAGGCATTAATCGATGTATTCACGGACCCAATTGACAATCGTCAATTTCTTTAGAGAAGCTGAAAAGATTAATTTTTTTCGGAGGTTTGTTTCTTATTGTTGTAAAAAGTATACAGTAGGTTTGTTCGCGTTGCTTAAAATTTCTAAAAATTTTTGAGCTATGATTTTTAATTTATCACAGCTATCCTGTATTCAGCCCTAAAGCCGAAGAATTTGTATATTCCTCAAAATCCGACGAAGTCCGATGAAATCAGGTGAAGTTCATTGAAGTCTGCATGGTAAAGTCCGCTAAAGTCTGATGAATAAGAGGGAAGTTCACAATTAATTCTGATGAACTCCGGTAAAGTCCGATGAATTCATAAAGTTTCGTGTCCGTCGATTGCAATGAAAAAAAATGAGTTGCTCCAAATAATTACATTACATCTTTTCATGACACAACTGCATTGTGTCTCTTTGTCACGTTATGATTTCTAGAACAACGTTTTTTGCCTGAAGAAGTAGTTTTCCAAACTGCGCATAAGTTAAAAATATTAAATATATGTATTAGGTGTTCCAGTTAGTTGTAAAGGCACAATATAAATGGCTGTAGCAACATATTTACTAAAATAACTTCGTCAAAAGTCATCATATATACGTATGAATAAAAAGTATTTTAAAGCTTGGAATCTCTACTTTTCAGAGCAGTACTTAACATAACGACATTACTTATTATTTGGTGACGTTACATGAACATAACTAAAGTTGCGTCAAATTTCATAGTTTTGAATGGAATTTGAGAATTTTCGCCGCTCAAACTAAAAGTTGTACACATATACAGTTTACGGCTTTCGAAAGACCGAATCTTTACCTTTAATTTGCTTTTTGTTAAATCTTTGTACGATTTTTTTTCACCAAATTATTCATCGATGAAGTTAAAATGACCCTTTTACCGCAGATATTGAATGAAAACCACCTTAATTTGTTTTCTTGTAGTACATACATCTACCTTCAATTTTAGATAAATTCAGAAATATATATTATTATAAAAGATTTGAATGTGAGAACAGTGTTTTTTTAGCATAAATAAGATAAAAACGTAAATATCTAAAAAAAATTATGATGAAATTTATAAAAATTTTGACGAAAACTAAAACTTCATACTGCGATTAAATTTTATTTTACGATATTTTATTCTTAACAAATTTCAAAATTGATATTTTTATTTAATATTTTTGTGATTTTATGAAGCGTTCTATCTGGAAACATAATAATTTATGCATTTCTGCAGAAATATATAATTTTATACGCAACAGAAAAAATACTCAATTAATGTCGACACAGTTTGTCAGTATAATATATCTTTTCTTATTTCATTCGCGCGCTCAACGAATTAATAATGAGCTGCACTGTACATTGTCCGTCAATAATTCACAGAATAGTGCAATAGTCCTAACTTATCGGCTTGATTTACTCAAAGGATCGTGCAGTAGGCCTGACTTATCGGCTTGTTTTACTCGCTGGATTGATAACGTGCACACTTCGGAAAATGCACAGAAAGGGGCACATTAAAGGTATATATCAATATAGAATAATAAAAAATCAGTAATTTATTGTTTTTATAATTATTCTATATTTATATATACTGCTAATGTGCCTCTTTCTGTGCGTTTTCCGAAGTGCACGCGTTATCGACCCTGCAAGTAAAACAAGCCGATAAGTCAGGCTACTGCATGACCCTGCGAGTAAATCAAGCCGATAAGTCAGAACTCCTACACGACCCTACGGATAATTGACCGGCAGTG